TGGTACCCTGCCGGCTCCGAGGCCCTGAGCCCCGCCCGCGCTGGCCGGGCACTGAAGCGGGAGCTGTGGGCCGAACCACGCCCAGTGCCGGAGCCGCCCCGGCCTGCGTTCCCGGCAGCCCAAAGCCGCCTGCCGCTGCCGAAGCCGCTGCCGGAGCCGGAAGCCGCGAGCCTGCTGCTCCTCCCCGCTGAGGGCAGGCCCTGGTCTCAGCCCCCACCACCGCTGCTGGGAGGGGGTCCCTGCAGGAGCCAACTGCCCGCCAGGCAGAGGGCCCAGTGCCCCCCAGGCACTGGCATGTCCCACAGCCCCTGCCAGGACTTGGCTCCAGGGAGCCCCTGCCCCGGGTACGCCCAGCCGCCAGCACCCCCAGCCGTAGGTGAGGAGCCAGGCAGGTTTCGCAGCAAACCCTTGCTTGGTTGGCTCCCAGGACCGGGCAGCCGGGTGGCTCCGCAGGTGCCGCCCCAGCCCTGGGCGTGGGGAAGTGCAGCTTGGAGCAGGATTACGCTTCTTGGGGCACCTTACCTGAGCCACCAAAACCACCTGATTTTTAAAATGACTCTTGGTGTCCCCTCAGAATCTAGACACCTGGTGTCCCCTGCTCAGCCAGCGTGCATCTAGCTAGAGATGCAGGGATGGACGCGGGCCCCAAGTCTTCCCAGCCTCTTCTGGACGTCTGTGCTTCCGCCCGGGCTGGCCTGCTGCGTCGGGAGCCGAGCCGGTGCTCCCACATGCCTACCCAGCCCCCCCCCCGGCCCAGCAGACCCAGGCACCACCACCTAGGCCCTCCGGAGACTGGCGGGCCAAGAACAGCACTGCCCCCTCCACAGCCCCTCGCCTGGGGTTTGGGAAGGAGAGTCACGTGGAGGCCACAGAGGTGGCCCTGGGAGCCTCCCTGGAAAGAAGCCCCGGGGGGCACAGCCCCAGTTCTGGGTGACCTAGAGGCAGATCAGTGCAGAGGCCAGTCAGGATGAGAACCAACCCCCAAGCTGTCCCTGCAGACTTCACTATGTGTTAGCTGGAAAGGAACTGGCAAACATTTATTCTTTGCATAAAAGAGCTGGGGTGCAGGCCAGAGGTGCAAAGGTGAGCGGACTCGCCAGAGACAGGTGGGAGCAGAATAGGCGGATCCACTGAAACCCACTGCTGAGGGGGCAGCGGGGAGACAGGAGGGGTCTGCTGCCCGTGTGGTCACTCCCTGGCCAAGCTCACACTCAGCCTCAGCAGTAACAGCCTGAGACTCACTCCCGGGCCACTGGGGAGGTCCAGGACTGGCAAACTTGGCCCGACTTCTTAGGCCCAGCGGCTCCCCCCTCTCTAAAGGTATTAGACTAACAAATGCCACAGTGGGAGGATTAGAGTCGGCTCCGCCTCAGAACTCCAGTTCCCAGTGCACGGTCAGGTGACTCATGGCCACCCCTGGCTGGGTCAGCCGGCACCAGCCACCCAGGCCTGTCTACCTTGTGACCCATCGTGGGAGCCCCCTGGAGCCACAGCAGAGCAGAGTGGCCTCGCCTGGCACACGCCTCCGGACCAGCAGGCGCAGGAGCTTTTGGGCGGGAGGCGGGGGTTGTGGCCTGCAGAGCAGCTGAGCCCCAGAGGCCCATGGCCCGCCTGTCCTGCTAGCACAGAGGCCAGCAGAAGTGCAGTGCCAACCGCACCTCGGTCGAACCCCAACAAACGGGCGTCTTTTCAATGGGCCGCGTCCATGCACAATACTGGAACAAAAACAATGCTGGGCCTCCTGGCGCACGGGCGAGTCTCTGCGCCCCCAAGCTCTCGGCTGCCCCTGCTGCTTGAGTCCATCCCCGGCCAGGGAGTGACCGACAGGGCGCAGTGGACACCCACCCCCGTCTCCCCACTGCTCCCTCAACGGTGTGCCTCAGAGGGTCCGCCTGTTCTGCACCCCACTCTGTCTCCGGTGGGTCCTCTCCCTACACACCTCTGGCCAGTACCCCAGTTCTTGTGTGCATAAATTTTTTTAAAGGTTTATTTATGCATACAGAACTGGGGTACAGGCCGGAGGTGGGGGCGGTGAGAGGATTCATCAGAGACAGAGTGGGGAGCAGAACAGGCCGACTGACAAGTGCACTGCCGAGAGGGCAGCGGGCGGGTCAGGAGAGGGCTGCTGTGCCCTGTGGGTCACTCCCTGGACGAACTCAGGGCCATGGGGCTGCTGATAGCTCCATAGCTCTGAGACTTAACCCCTGGGCCCCCGGGAGGCCCAGACCAGCTTCATTTTAAACAGCAAAGCAGCGTAGGGTGTGTGAATTCTCCTGGGAAGGGGGGGCGGGGAGGAACCCTGGAAACACTGAGAGGACTTGGGGGGGCAGAGCTGCTGTCACGGCCCCAGATGGGCAGTGCAGGGGCCAGGGAGTGGGCTTTAGGAAGCTTTCTAGCCGGGGTGGGGGTGGGGCTACACCAGTCACACAGGCGTGGGCCCGGGAAGCCTGGGGAGGGCCTCGGGGGCCCAGCCAGCACCCCGGCAGGCGGCCGCCTTCACCGGCGCTGTTCCCCTATGAAACCAGGGCTCCCCGCTAGAGTGTCTGTGGGCGCTCTGACACGGGGCCCGTCCCCAGGGCCTGCCACCCTGCCCCCTTCCTCGACGATGGGCGCCCGGTGCCGCCGACGTGCACCCCACCGGGGGGCTGGGCTGGAGGGCTCCGGGAGAGGGAGCAGCCGGGACGCTCAGGGCGCGGGGCCGACGCCGGCCGAATCCCGACGCCCGTACACCGTGGTCTCTGCTGCCCGGGTCGGCCCCCTCACCGGCGGCAAAGCCCCACAAACGGCCGGGTTGCTGCGGGCGCCGCGAGCCAGTGCTCGGAGACCCAGTGGTGCCGGCGCCGGGAGGCGGCCCCACCGCGCAGGCGC